GTTATAGGAACCGCTAGCGATTCTGCGCACTTTACAAAGAAATATGGAAGAATCTCATCACATCCAGCGCCTTTAGAACAATCGAGATTATCAAGAGCCTTTTTACGTCTGTTACAGAAAGGTATATATCACTAATAACATCATTGCTTAGGAAATTTTTATGTGTAAAATTTTGATAATGTAATGCCGGTAGACTAAAATTACGACTAAAAAATTCATTGAAAGCATTGCAAATATCATTTTGATTTGAAAATTGATTATTATTGTATTGCATTATTTGGGGATAAGCTGATTTATTTTTCCTCTTGGATTTTATATAAGCCCATAACAATTTAGGTGTAGTTTTAATTTTTTTCTTGAGAATAATTAATGTAAGACGAATAACATTCCCTTTCAAGTTTTTTAAAACGGGAACGCGAAGAAAATGATTCATAATCATTTGGGTTTCCATATTTTTTCCAGTAAGTATGAAACTTTGCTTTTTCTTTAATAAACTTTATAAAGGCATTAATAAACAAAACAGGATAATTGTAAGTATGAGATACAATTTTTTGTGGCACAAAGTTAGAGATAGCTGTATTTACGTTAGTACTCTTATTAGTTTGTGGCTGTATTTAATGTTACATAAAAAGTGTCGATTACGTATTTCAAATCATGAGATTTTAAAAAGGACCAATCGTAATTAGAAAAAAAAGTATTTAATTTATTATAATCAGCTTTCCTAAATAAGTTTCTTTTTCTAGTTTTTGCTTTAATCGAAGGTACTATTATATCTTTCAAATAAATATCGACTGATGGATGACAAATATCTTCAACTACAATTGGGGCTTTAGATTTTACGATAGTTAAAGATATATTAGAGAAAATTAAATCCAGTATATTACCATATGGATTTACTAAGTAATTGTATTGAGATAAACCTAAATAATAAGTAGTATTAATTAAATCAACAGCAGATTTCTGCATCTCGACAGATCCCCTTTTTAATATTATAGGTTTATTTAATTTCCAATTTATGCAAGGTAAGTTGAAATCACCAATTACTATAAAATGGTCATCTGGTTTTGAACTAATCGCAACAGTAAGCATTTGTATAAAGTTTTGCATACAAAATGAAAGCGCGCGGTTTGGCGGTATATAAGCACATAAAATATTTAAATCATGTTGTAAGCCAAGCGCACGCGCCGGTACTGTTATGCATATGCACTCAAGATCGTCGCGATCAAGGTCAGAGCGCCTGCGCGCCCTGAGCCGGGAAGCGCACGCAATAATCACACCACCTACGAGCGCGCCGCGATCGCGACGGAATAGTTCGTATTGGTCAGAACTGCACAACTCCGTATCCAGAATACTGTCGCATAACCATGTCTCTGTAATTAAAGCGATGTCAATATTAGATAGAAATAAATTATTATAAAACTGGTCAGTCTTAGTCCGTAAGCCTCGTACATTCTGATAGAAAAGTCTTAATCCACTATTGCACTTTGCCATTTTAAATATTAAGTACACCATTAGTTATAGAATGATACACATAAAGGATTGTAATAACTGCTTTCATTTGCACTACAGAGAAAACGTAATAATAAAAAAAGAAGTGAATGCTAAGTATCTTTTTCCACGACAATAAGACATAACATAACGTTTTAAAAAGAAACAAAACAGGAAGGCAGTTTGTAATGCCTATTGATATATTATCATAGTGTTATATATGATGTAGAATTTTTTCATAGTGTTTTGTAGTTTGAGTAATGATAAATAGAAGCAATGAATAATATGTTGTATGATAACTTTGCAAGTTGTTTGGTGTTAAAATGTAAAGAAGTACAATATGATGAATGTAAGTGAGAAATGTGTATTGTGTAAGTATGCGTAACATAACTAAGAGTAACATCGCTATACAATCAGTACAATTTAAACTATTTTTATCAAATCGGCCGTCGTTATAATGGGTATGGGGGGAGAAGTTTCGTTGCGACGCACATAAATACGGCAATTTTTTGTCCAGATAAATTTGAAATTAAATTCCTTAGTCTTGATTTTACACTGTTTAAATAAATCCCGGTTGTATGGTGTAAGATGTTCATTAATATAAATATTGTTTCTGGCATTATCGTTGCTTGTCTTGTGCACCATACCAATGTCGGTTAGTTTGATGCCGCGATGTTTACGCGATGCGATTACGATCGAGTCTTTTGTGCTGCGGTGACGAAACCGGGCAATGATGGAACGGTGAATGATGGAACTGTTCGGCTTACGCGGCTGCACACGATGTGCAAACTCCACCTCACTGCTGTCCATGGTGACACCCAATTTCTCGGCCAGCTTAACAACAATTTCAACAGTTTTTTCATCCTTGTCCTCTGGGACACCTGTAATTTCGATATTTTGAAGACGACTCCACTGCTGTTCCAATTGTTTAGTACGTCTTGTATTAGCATCCGCGTCACTTCGGAGACGCGCATTTACTTCCTTTAGGCATTTAAGTTCAGCTGTGGTGGATGCAAGATTTTTCATGAGGTCATCGTACTGGGTACTTATATAATTAAGAGTAGTTTCCATAGTCGATATTTGAGCTTTCAAGGAGCTTAACTCGCTTTTAACTGCCTTTCTCATAAGAACTTGGAGTTCATCTTTAAGAGAGTTTAGGATGCCTGTTCGAAACTCAGATGATTCCTGTAGATAAGAGCTTACTGGAGAATTTTCTTCTGATGTATGTTTAAGCGGAGTGTTGGTGTTGTCACCTGCTTTTGGTTGCTTGCTAATGCAATACGGACATGTCCAAGACGATATTTTCTTGGCACTTTCTGATGTCAAACCTACACATAAATAGTGGTATGTCTTAGCGCAGTTACTGCGGGTGCAAATTATTTTCTCAGATTGCCGCACCGATTTCTTACAACCAGTACAGCTAGACATTATGTTCAATTTATTATTGGCTGGCTGTGTAGTGTAGATCGTTTATAGAATGGTAAGTACAACAAGCATTAATGCAGGTAGGTGTTAATTGTTACCTTTGTTTACTTCGACGCGGTGTGACGTGTTCGGATGCGACGAGTAAGGTACTGCACTTTCAACACAGATATAACTAATTTTAACAAACGATGCTATTGGTGGCAAAGGGAACCTTAGGTTACAATACACTACGTGCGTTAATCGATTGAAGCGACGATTATATTTTCTTATCTAATGTGACACAGGTCTGCTCTGAGCGATAATCAACAACGGTTATGATATACTATGATATACCGGTCGGAAAGGCTCTGTACTGCCGTGTCTTGCCATTGCTCATTGGCTAAAGATAGATGGGTAAGTCCTTTATCACAAGAAATGACGTCCTTATAGAATGGAACATCCGATCTCGCTAGGAAGTAATTACGGAGGCTGCACACTTCGCGATTATGCATAGTGAGCGCGCTCAAAAAGCCACGCCCACCATGCTTTCGCGGCAAGTACAGCCTCCATTACTGACTCCTCATTTCTATCCAGGGCGTTAAGTTCAATGTGAGTCCACCTGAGTATGGCCAAAGGTATACTTGAGCACGGGCATGACCCAACTATTATATGCGTGTGTCTTATTCACATTAGAGAAAAGGCTGCTTATAGTTCATAAAAGATAGCTTGATCTCTGCGACAGCTGTCAGTAAAAATCACGCCTATGAAGTCCCGAATTTCTTAGTAGTACAGACAGTACCTGTCAATGTCATACTTTATGGGCATGCCGACCTAATTAGTGCATGCCCATAAAGTATGACATTGACAGGTACTGTCTGTACTACTAAGAAATTCGGGACTTCATAGGCGTGATTTTTACTGACAGCTGTCGCAGAGATCAAGCTATCTTTTATGAACTATAGTACTTTGGTCAAAAGTGCATAAAACACGTCGCAAACTGAATGTTTCATACCAGCCTCATCGATACCGATGTTCTGTGACATACCCAGGTATTTGTATGTTTCAGTCTTGGAAAGGGTCTTTAAGTTGACGGGCATAGATAAATCTATACCCTCGGAGTTAGCAACCCTTCCCCTCTCAACATGGAGGACTGCACACTTATTCGTCCCCAGATACATCCTAATAGAATTGCTAAAATCACAAGTGATGTTTAGCAATTCCATAAGATGGGAGAAACTGGAGGCGAATAACTTGAGGTCATCCACATAGAAAAGGTGGGTCACTTTTTTACCTCCTTTCCGAAGCTGAAAACTTCTCCCGGAGCCCTCCAGTGAGAGGAGATGTTCTGAGAGGGTTCAAAGAGAGGCAAAAACATTCTTATCCTTATGCGGCTTTTCGCAGCCGTCATCCGCTCGCCCAGATGACAAAGGATCATACTCCAAGTCTCTAAATGTACAGCCAATCTTGTACAGCTCGAGGACCCTCTTTAGCAATGTGTGGGGGCACCGAGTCAAATGCCTTTCTGTAGTCTATCTAGGCGGCAGAGAAGTTCCGACGGTTGCGTTTCACCACTTTGCCAATGACCGCGTCAACGAGGAGTGGTTTCTTGATTCTACGACTACCGCCCCAACACCCATTTTGAGCGCGCGACATCACCTGATTTGAGTCCAAGTGACGAGTGATTCTCGCGCTCAAAATGGATGTTAGTGTCTTGTATATGGTTGATAGATACGTGATGGGGCGGTATTTGCTCGTTTCTGTGGTAACCTGGTCTTTAGAAACCAAATGAGTAATCCCAATATTGAAGAGACTCGGGAACGACTTCTGGTTGAGAGCCTCTTGAAACTGACGGGCGAGCACAGCGTGACACACCATGAACCCCTTCAGCCAGTAGTGATGCAGCCCGTCGAGTCCCGGACTTTCCAGTTCAGGGCCCTACGGACCGACTCAGCTACGTCATCCAGCGTTATGATGACGGATTCCATGGGCGTAATACTCGCACACTGACTCACCACACCTTCCGTCCAAGGGCCCTCGCTGTGGTTTACGGGCTCTGGCTACAGGCCGCATTAATTCGGTGCTGGGTCCGTTCCAATTACCATTGGTCGTTAAAATGATCCATAGAGCCTCTTCTGATTAATCTGGAAGAGACGATTCCGGTTGAACCGAGTCGACCTCTCGGTATATCGCCGAATCCACTTTCCCCAAGCAGCGAATCTCTGCTTCAGATCATCTATGCGCTCCGTCAGTTTTTGCGTTATATCCGACTGGGACAAACTGACATTTGTCCCAGCAAACGCCGTCCTGACAGTGTGCACAATCCTTGGCCTGTTATTGCCTGACCTGAAGCATATCAGTCTGCCGATGAGAGCTTTAGCATTTGCGATACGCTCCTCAATTCTTCTTCTCCAGGCTGGGATAGCGCTACTCTGTCCAGTAGCGCGTCCAGCCGTGGAAAGCTTGGCGCTTATAATACGACAGACTGCCAATGCTCCAAAAAGAATTGAGTTTGTCTCGCAAAGGTCCCGGCTGGCTTCCAAATAGGTCACCAGCATTGGGTTCAGAGCCTTCACGACAGCCTGATTCCGCTTGCTTAGGGCTATGCGGGGAAGTCGCGGTCGATTTTCGAGAGGCATACTGCGCGTTTCCACAATCGCCTCTTCCAATGTACTCCTCATTTGCTCTTTTTCTAGTTCCTGGGTGACTGTTCCATCATCATTTGAATCAGCCACCACTGGAGTATTCACGACGGCATTCACCTGTGCGGGTTGTTCTGCAACTTGTGGCACCGCAACCTCGGCCGTAATAGCACTTTCATCTGATTAGGGAACAGCCTCACGTCGTAACCAAAACATTACCTCCCACAAGTTCAAGGTTGGTACTGCAATGTCAGATTCATGGTTTCTACAAGCTACAATCCAAGTGTGCCGCCTAAGAGGATCTATTGGAAATCTGTAATAACAAACCGATTAAAAAAAATTACTACTTTTTGTAATACTTTATTATAAAATCTAAATAAAAACTACAAACCGGTTCGGCAGACAAACCCGCATGGTTAATTAATTTATCGATAGCTAAAGTTGCGGCGTTCATCACTATAGTGCAATACTTTCGGTTTCAGTGATACCAGTTTATTTTTATAAAAATTGCACACTTTTGCTGCGAGGTAGCAAGTTTCGATTTGACTTATTTGGCCTGTATTTTGTATAATATTTTAATAAATACTATTTATCGATTATATTTAATTATATAATATTCAGTATCGTGTTGAAATTGAGCTGAATATATAAATCATTTAACAAAATCCACTACACATCTATATGTTATGATTATTATTCATCACAAATTTAGTTATTAGGAAATATATTTTCGTTAATATATATAACTTGTGTAGTAAATTATATTTTTTTAAATAGATTATGTTTCACTTTTTGAACTATAATGGCCACACTCGTTATTGGACGATAATATTCACAAAGTACGAGTTTTAATAATAAAATTACTTTAATATTATGTTAAAAATACTCACAGATGAAAAGTCACATTGTCCTTTTGTATACTTGACGTTTTTGATTGTTTTTTTTTTTCATGTAAATACACTGCAATTATTCATTTTGTCGGAGCCCGATTTACTGGCACGATCACTTCGAAATGACGCACGACGCGGAGCAACTAGTTTTATATAACGAGTATAAGTCGGACTCTCGTACCTTTTACAGAGGGGTATGCCTTGCGATGCCGTCTCCTTTGGTTTAACACTCAAAGCGTTTTGGTCACTCCACCGTCCTGGCCCACCTGGCTCGGTTGGGCACAGTGGAGAGCAGCTACTGCACCTACTGCAATAATTTTGTTGTTTCAGTATATACAAAGTACTCTGTGGTGATATCGAACATTTCATGTAAGTGCTTTTCATTTGACAGATTGATTCTTGATCTTGTCAGTGAAATTAGTGACATAGTGCAAAATCAAGTGACATTGCAAGATCCCTCCCGCCGCCTGAGTGATATGTTAAAAAATAGATCCTATTACGTGCCTCTATATAAATTTATCAAAAATACAGGGGGGAAATTATAATAAACCGAATAAAAATACTCAAGACTTGGCCTAAAGGTCTAGATACCAGGCCATAAACTCCAAAAAAATGACACTGACAGACTGACACTGACATTAACTTGTAAACATTTTAAAGATGTTGATAAATTTTAATTCAGTAATCTATGATTTCAATTAAACGCGATTTAAATAATGTCTACCGTTATAAAATATGAATTAAAAGAATTAAGAAAATTGGCTAATGACCAAAATTCTTGTGTCATTGAAAAAAAAGTGACTCAAAATTTAGCATTACAACCGTGGTGTTTAGGAAACCTTAAAGAATCTTTAAAAAAATTATTAGATCATAAAATAGGAAAGTATGATAAAGAGTAAGTAGCTTTATTAATTTATATAATGAGTATAATTTGTATAAAGGTTCACTTCAACATTCTCTTAGCACAATATCATATAACCATAGTTGTATATTTTCCTAATATTCTTTATTTTATACTTTGATGTGAACACCAAACATGATCTAAATAATAAAAAAGATGGATTTTTGGTATATTATTATTTATATTTTCTCTTTTCATTTGCACTTTTCTAATAGATTCCACGGTATTATGATGAGTTACAAGAATCTTCATGTTCTTCAAAATGTTGGAGCCATAAGAAATGACAATGCTGATATTCATTTTCAAGTGCAAGCTGACTACTTTGTATTTCAACCATGTGTGGGGGCTACATTAAGGGGTGTTGTTAATAAAAAAAGCACAACTCACTTGGGTATACTTGTTCACAGGTAATCATATTTTATATAATAGAATTTTATTTTGTTTGTATAAAGAGGAGCAGGGTATAAACTATAGACGTCTGGTACTCGCATACAGTGTTTGGAGGGCAATGGGGCATCATGGAAAGCCTACCTTTCCCCCGTTGCGGATTATGAGTAATCATTTTTTTTTTAAATTCATAACCTCACTTTTTATGCAGGAATATTGACACCAATTGAATAATACTTGAAAGTTATATGAAGAAATGGATTCGGCACTGCAGGAAGTGCAGCCCCTTCGCCCTTGCGTAGCAAATCATAGGCACCCAAGCGAGCCGTAGCAGCTGAGACTGGTCGTCGTAGTGGCTGATGCTGGTCGCCGAAGGCGGTACCAGTAAGTCGAAGCAGCGGTCGCTAGTGCAAGCATTTGCTCAGGGGCGGGGGCTGCTCTCCCTCCATGGCTACGGCTCTACAAAAACACTAGGCATAGGGTAGACAAGACTACGTAGGGTCGGGGTGTGCTAATTCAGTTTCAGAACCGATTCGACCATTCGTATCTATAAAGTCGGATAACTAAACTCTGCTATGATAGTGGTAAATGAACCAATGTAATTATTTAATTTATTTTTTTATATTTTTCTATATTTTGCCTCCACAAATACATCACTACCACATTTTCAAAATTTTGTGAATTATTATAATTTTGTTTTTCAAGAAACCTCTTTACTGCTCTCCACTGTGATTCAATTCGCTGTGTATGAGTCCCATCTTCAGCCACAAATGGATTGTCTGGGTCTGAGTGATTAACTCTTTTATGGGTGTGTTACGGATCGCCATAACGCCGTTCGAAAAATGAATAAAACGCGTTGATCTTGCTTATATAGGAGGCAAGCGGCGGTGAGGAGGAACTTGTACTTTCTCTTCTTGTTGTTGCCTTTTCGGTGGCTGGAGAGCGACTGCCGACCCTACCGGCCGGCCCGTCTTTTATATGATTCGGCCGCTGCTGGCCAGCGGACCCTTGCCTCACCCCCGCGCCTTTCTTTATTTCTTTAAAACTCTTATTTATTAACAAATATAATTGAATATGTAATATTCTCACATCTATTTCTTACACTATTATGTACATAATAATTATCTTACACTCTAAAAGGTTTTAAACCTTGTATTTTACAATTTTTAAGCTGAGAACCCTGCCCCGCACCTCAGCACTATATATATAAAACGTGCAAAAAAAAGATAATTACAACATCAACATGCCTTGTTGATGTTATAATTATCTTTTTTACAAGAAAGGTAATTTATACGAATGGTAATATGTAAGAAAGGTAATATACAATAAAGGTGATATGCAACAAAGGTAAATTAGATATAAGAGTACAATTTACATTTCAAAATCTATGCTAACGCTCGTTATTTATTCGGTGTCTTTATTGGGAGAGTTATTGCATAGTTACATCATTCTTTTTTTATTATTGAATATAAGTTATACAGGTTTAACAAAAATAAATGCAATAATTAAGACTACGGCTGTTTTTCCGTGTTGTTGTGTGTACCCTCGCTAGTTGCCGAAACTCGCCGGTCGCGACCCTCGTGGCTCCGCCCACCGCCCCTGGGTTGCTCAACCAGCGCTGGTTATACTAAGCATGTATTTCGTCGTTTGCGTCGTGCATATTCTCCCGCCGTCGCCACGCTGCGATCCCTCTGGTAGCACGACGATCTTATTTGTTTGTCTTCGCAGTACATGCCCACTGCTAGTGGTTACGTCCACTACTCGTACCTCTCCGTCGATGCCAGGATATACATTGCTTATTTTTCCCCTGGGCCAGATGTTGCGCGGTAGATTGGAGTCACAAATGATGACCAGATCTCCAATCTTCGGCGATACGCCTATGCTGCTGGGCTCCCGCCGGTGTTGGAGTAGGGGCAGGTATTCCTTCACCCATCTTCGCCAAAACACGTCGGCTAGGGCTTGAGCTCGTTTCCACTGCTGGCGGGCCGTCACGTCGCTCTCGCTGAAGTGTCCCGGTGCAGGTAGTACGTGTGAGTTGGGACCGATGATGATGTGATTCGGCGTGATGGCTTCCGGGTCTCCTGGGTCGACTGAGACGTGGGTAAGAGGTCTTGAATTGACCGTGTTTTCGACCTCGGCGAGCAGGGTCACCAATGTCTCGTCACTGGGATAGCGCTCGTTGAGGGTGACGCGTAGGGCTTCTTTCACGGAGCGAACCATTCGCTCCCAGGCGCCGCCCATGAATGGTGCTGATGGTGGTATGTACTTCCACACAATTTGTCGACATGTGGTTTCGTTCTCAAGGGCTGCGATTGCTGCTTCGGCCAGCTCCTTGTCTGCTGCCTTGAAACACGTAGCGTTGTCACTACAGATTTCTTTTGGGCATCCTCTTCTGCTCATGAAACGCCTAAGCGCTGACACGGCTGAGTCGGTGCTTAACGAGTGGGCCACCTCTATATGTATTGCTCGTGACGTCATGCAGGTAAATAACGCGCCATAGCGTTTTTCACGATTTCGTCCCACTGTGACTTCTATTGGCCCGAAGTAGTCCAGTCCGGTGTATGTGAACGGACGTGCGTGATGAGCGAGACGTGCGGACGGCAGGTTTCCTGTAGACGGTGATGCAGGTTTGGCTTTTCTTAGACGGCACGGTAGACAGCCTTTGATGACAGTTTTTACTACTGGACGTATTTTTCTTATGTACAATCTCTGTCTTAATTCGTTCACGACTGTTTCCACGCCTCCGTGATGCAACCTCTCGTGTACGTGTGCTATGTACAGACGAGTGTATGCGTGCTTCCCGTCTAGATGGGAGGGTCGTACGTGTCCTCCTCTACTTCTGATGCTGCTTTTATTCGACCTCTGAGGCGTAGGGTCCCCTCTTCGTCGACGTATGTGCTCAGGTGGCCTAGTTTGTCGTCGCCTCCTGGAACACTTCTGTTGGCGATCCTCTTGAGCTCCTTCGTGAAGCTTTCCCGCTGACTGACTTGCACCCACAGTTGTTCGGCTCTTATATAAAAAGCGGCTGGTATTCCTACAAGCGATGAGACAGTAGGTGTTGCCCTTTTTTCCTTGGTGGGGGTGTTGCGTCGGTTTGTTCTTTGCCAGCCAGGGTCGCTATCTTGTCTTGCTTTGTTGCGTTTGCGCCCAGCCTACACCACGTGCTTCTTTGGTCTGCACATGTCGATGAATAGAAGGACTCTCGCTGTCGCCCTTATGAGGCGAATCCATTTTGAAAATCTTTCTATTTGTGGCAGATGTGTTGTTGGCGAGTCTTCGTTTTTAACTGTGATGTTACATATTTCTCGTTCTTACCCGGTGGCGTATTGTGTCGTTTTCTCTTCCTGCGGCCATTCTGCCGGTGGACGGCGCAGAAACGGGGGCCCTCGGAACCACCGGTGCGACTCGTCGAACCTTTCTGGCGTGGTTCGGGTCGCGTCGTCTGCCACATTTTCTTTAGACGGTAGCCAACGCCATTCGTTCTTCTTGGTCGTATCTTCTATCTCCGCCAGGCAATGAGCGACGAAAGCTTTGTACGCGCGAGGCTCCGCCCTTATCCACACTAGTGCAGTACGAGAGTCGCACCAGTATGTCTTGCCCGCTATATCGTCATCGTGCTCATCGATCACGGTCTGCGCAAGACGAGCACCCAGTAGTGCCGCTTGTAACTCGAGCCGTAGTATGGAGACTGGTTTCAGTGGTGTCACGCGGCTCTTGGCGGCGGCCAATGATATGTTAACGCTGCCGTCTGCTCGCTCCGTTCTCCAATACACGGCGGCTGCGTAGGCTTCCTCGCTTGCGTCGACGAATGTGTGTAGTTGCCGCGTCGACACTGGGTTATAATCGTAGCATCGCGGTATTCTCCGTTGTTCTATGGCGTGAAGTGAAGTAATCCAGTCTTTCCATTTTTCTTTTAACTCTGTTGGCAGAGGGTCGTCCCATTCCGCCTTGTAACGCCATGTGTCTTGGAATATTCTCTTCGCTGGGGTAGTCACTGGTGATATTAACCCCAGCGGGTCAAATAATGCCGTTATTATGCTCAGCGCTTCACGTTTAGTTGGCAAGCGTTGTTTTTTTACGTCTTTTATGTCGACCGGCATCTTCATATGGTGAGTATTAAATCCGATGTGATCGCTTTGTACATGCCAGAGCAGGCCGAGCGTCTTCTCAGTTTCTTTTCCGCCCAGACGCACGGTCGCGTCGTGTTGTTTATGCTCTGTCGTTGTTTCTTCTATTGTTTTTTCTTCGTTCGATGTCCACCCGCTGAGTACGAATCCCGCTTGTTTGTGGACGTGAACGACTGCTTTTACAGTTTGCTGAGCTTCCGTGATAGAGTGGAAGCTCTGCAAGTAGTCGTCCATATAGTGATTTCTTTTTATGGCGACCGCAGCTTCTGGGTATGCCTCCTGAATGTTCTTCAGCATTTTTATTTTTGATGTATAATGCTGTGCATAGTGATGATGTCGCTCCAAAGATGATCGATGTCATCCTATATTCCTCCGGTTGGCCCTCCCGCCGCTTGCCTCTCCACAAGAAATGTAAAACGTCTCTATCTTCTTTGCGCACTTTGATCTGCATAAACATTTCTTTTATGTCGGCGCTCACTGCATACGGATACTGTCGGAACCTCATGATTACTCCGGGCAATGATTGTAATAAGTCCGGCCCCGAGTGAAGCATATCGTTGAGACATATTCCTGCTGTCTTCGCTGCGACGTCGTGCACCAATCTCGGCGGCTTGTTAGGTTTCGCAGGGTTGATGACTGGGAAGTGCGGCAGATACCATGTCTTTCTTTGTGGCGGTGGCATGGGCGCGCGCTCTGCGTAACCCGAGTTGAAGAGGTTCTGTATGCGTTCTTCGTACTGTAGCTTGAGATTGCTGTCTCGGTTGAGCCTCTTCTCTAAAGTGTGCAGACGTCTTTCCGTGTCTTTGTAATTATTTGGTATTTGGAAATCCTTTTGTTTCCACAGCAACCCTGTCTCGAATCTGCCGTCCGCCAACCTCGGCTGGTCTCCCTCA